ACTTAATCATAGTTAAGTGATTAAGCAATGAAAATTATATACATGATATTTGTGTTGCATTTCATTTGATGCAAATATCAAGAGCAAGTAAACTTTTAATAACATTAAAGACTTTCATTAAACTATTAGAGGTAAACAAATCTAAGCAACAAAAAGTAAACAGAAAGATTTTGATCCAATGCAATGAACTCAACTAATATATATCTTAGCTTATTGGCTGTATGCTTACTTTAACAAACAATTATATATCAAAAATGAGTGAAGTACAAAGAGAAAGAAATGAATTCTTCTAAGTTTTGACAAAAAAAGAATCAATCATATTTTTTAATGTCTAAATTGAAACTGGAAGAATAATGTTTGAAACAATATAAAGAATAATGATAAATAATAGTGCCAAAATAGACATATGTCCCGACACTAGTATTAATTAGAATAATGACTTCCTATTTATATATTTCAAGAGGTCAAAGTAAACTTAAACCTTGAAACCGGCTATCCCACTAAACCCATTTGGCTATTTTCCAATTCTTTGTGCTGGCAAAAATAAAAATATTTTATACTAATGTCTACTCTCTAGGTCGCTCGACTGCGACTAATAAATTGCATTTGACAATTGCGAGTTATAACACATTTGACAGTTGCCGCTTATCGCGATATATATCGCAATTACGATATATAAATGGATTTTGAACGCACAAAATCTCTATGTCCAATTTGAATCGATCTCAATGAATCCTTTGTTACTGTCCAGAGGAGTAGGTAGAGAAATTGTGACTAATAAATCGCATTTGGTAATTGCGACTTATAAATCGCATGCAGTTAAAAAATACGAAATCGCTTTTAATTCGAATCCCGTTACGCAATATTCGCTCTACCCTGTCCCCCTACCCCTTGTAATAAAGAAAATGCAGATACATGCATCATATTTAAAAAAGAGATCTTTTCAAAATCAAATAATATCACAAAATGAGGAAGTCAATTTATTTATTAAGTTGGAATGTCTTATATGAAAAATACCCACTTGCACTCACTGCTTGTAATAATTCAAATAATTTAACCTCAAAAATCACAAATTAGAGTAAGAGTGAAAATTATAAACAAAATATTTGTGTTGTGTTGCATCAATTCATTTGCTGCAAATATTGGAGCAAATAAATTTTAACAAACAATGATATATAAAAAATAAAAGAAGGATAGTACAAAGAGAAAGAAATGAATTCTTCTAAGTTTTGGGTAAAAAGAATTAATACTTTGCATTATTGCTTTGTTAAAATATATACATCAATCATAATTTTTAAATATATGACATAATGACTAAATTGAAATTGGAAGAATAATGTTTGAAACAATATAAAAAGTAATGATAAATAATAGTGCCAAAATAGACATCTGTCCAAACACTAGTAATTAGAATAATGACTTCCTATTTATATATTTCAAGAGGTAAAAATAAACTTAAAACTTGAAACCGGCTAACAACTAAACCAATTTGGCTATTTTCGCAAAAAGAAAAATAGTTTATACTAATGTCCACTCTATAGGTCGCTTTGACGTGCCCCTTTAACCATAAATAATATTTCAGTATTTTATATGGTGTTGAAATATTAAAAATTTTGTTTCAAAAGTATTTCAAGTGATATGATTCTACAAATCTTCAAATTGTTTTTCTAATTGAAAGTTATGTCCAAGGAAAAAATTCAACCACTAAATACTCTTTTTGGAAGTTAATTTTCGAAATACTTTTTATTTCAAATTTAACCAAATATTGTTCAAATGCTTACTTTGTATTAAATCAAGCAAGTGACATCCTAATCAATCTTGATACTTGATTCAATAAATTTTATTGATTAAAATTGCAAAATTTCATATTTTAAAATAACTTAAGTGAGAACTAAATAAAAACATGTACTATGATTTACAGCTGTATTTAAAGCTGTTAAACAGTGCCGCTTTCTTTGAAAAATGTTTACTCGAGATCGTGATTTTATTGCACTTTATTGACTTATCAATAATACTTTCAAAGAAATGGGAAGATGCCCCAATAGAGTGACAAAAGTCATTTGGGCAATTTAACGACTTCATGTTTCTATTTTAGCCATCAAAATTTTATTTTGGAAAAAAGAAAAGAAAATTAAAAATTCTTTTGTAGTAATTGTACATATTGGACCTTTACGCACCGTGGCGAGATAAATAAATTATAGGGCAAATATCACTTTTTGCCCGCGGCAGAAATTATTTATATTTGATAACCTAAAGGTATATAAAATTTATATATTTTATATATATAACATATCAAAATGTATTTATATACAAAACAATATATTTTTCGACTATTATTTTAAAAGATGCTATACAGTATCATTTCTCTTGAATATATTCACCATTAATAAGAAATCTTTATAGGGAATTGTTTCCTCTTTAATGGGCTTATATGATGCGAATTGAATTAGTCGGACCAGTGCAGAACAACAAACCTAGCTAAAATAAAAAACCTCTACGACCCTAACGGGGAAACCTTCTCTTCATATTTATTTACTTACCTTTTATGTTTAATAATTATTGGTCTCTTTACTGCCTTCTTTCCTTTTCTATTGATTAATAATGGAAATTTTCATCAATTTGTGTGGTCACATGGCAAACAAGTTAGAAAGATTTGGTCACCTTTCCAATTTAGGACCTTGGTAATTTATGGTCACATTTGCAAACATATTGAAGGCATACTCTCATCAATCAAAGTTATGAGGATGATAAATATGGTAAGTGAACAAAATGGAGAACAAGAGAAGATAGTAAATTTTCCAGGAGGATAATACCATAGTTAGAGGAGATTTTAGATCAAATCACAATAACTTTGATTATATATATATATATATATATATATATATACACACGTTGAATGACCTTTTTGGAACCATCGATTATATTTTGACCATGTTAAGAAAGATTTAGTAAAATAGCCCCGCATCAAAATTTTAAAGTTTCCTGTTAGAATTTTGAAGTAGCCTATCAAATATTTCAGTTATGGCAGCGTGCTTTAGAATTCAGGCAACATGCTTTAAAAGTCTGGCAACGTGCTTTAAAGTTATGATAGTGTACTTTAAAATATGGCAACATGCTTTAAAATTCTAGTAGTATCCTTCAAAATTCTGGTAACGAGACTATTTTTCCAAAATTTATCTTGACAGGATGAAAAATATAATCGGTAACACTACTATTTAAGCAAATCTCCCAAAAATAATTTTACTAACGAGCAATTACGTGTTTGGATAAAATTGTATACATTCTTCCAATTATGTTCCAACAAGCAAAGGAGAGTTAATTACATTAGTGTAATTAAGAAGTCACCGTTAATTACGTGATTAATAAGCTAAAAACTGTCATCCAACAGCAACTAATTATGTTAAGCAGCAATGTCAAAATCGTGTGTACTTATTTGGCCCTTTTGTGCAGACAACAGTCCAGTTATCACGCGCACATGGCGCATGCTAGCCTCAATTATATTTTATTTTATTTTTTAAAATTTCCAGTTATTGATCTACATATATAGAACAATATAAATAAGACAATAAAATTTGCAGAAATATCCTCCATAAAAATGGAAAATAAACTCCAGAAAAATAAAATTAATAAGTACTCGTGAACTGTGATCTCAGATTTGATTGGTTTCATTAAACCCTATAAATCATTTCTACCTCATCTCAATTTCAGTGGCAATAATTTGTAATTTATTGCCACTGCAATTTTCTATATTTCAAGAACCAATTTTTTTTCTTCCAATTTTGATTGGTAGGATTGAATTTGAGTAGTGGGTTTTGATTGGTTGGTTCTGAATGTGACCGTTTTGTATGTTTTAATAAAAACTTTTATATATATGTATACAATTTCTTGATTTGGGTTGTTTGTATTTGAGATAAAGATGCAAACTTTACATCTTCACTTGCTTTAAAATGCCACACTCTTTTTACATTCTTACTATTTAAGGCTCTGTATTAGCAGTTTTGGTGAAGTGGGGCTGTTGTTATTAGATCCATAAAGAAGCAATAGAGGATTGATTGTAAATCTAGAGATCATTTGGCTAATTGTGTATCTGTTTTCTTGGTGAATTTGGTCCATTTTCTTTATTAGATTGGCATTTCCAAATTTATACAGTGAGTAATTTCTGGCGTTTTGAGCTGATTCTGTTGAAGTTTCCTAATTTGGAGGTGAATTTTAGTGCAAAGATTCAAACTTTAGGAAGATAAAGAAGCAAGAAAGGATTGTTTGTATTATTGGGTCTTTGTTTTATTGGTGAATTTGGTGCATTTTTATTAGATTGGTATTGCTAAATTTGTGCAGTGAGAAGCTTTGTGGAGTTTTGAGCTGATTTTCTTGAAGTGTTGGAAAGTTGGAGGTGAATTACTGTGCAAAGATTCAAACTTTAGTAGGAAGATAAAGAATCAAGAAAGGATTGATTGTAGCTCTAGAGATCATTTGGCCAATAGGGTATCTTTTTCTTGGGGAATTTGGTGCCTTTTTTGTACTAGATTGGCATTACCAAATTCGAGTGACGAGAAGTTTGTGGCGTGTTGAGCTGATTTTCTTGAAGTGTACTTAATTTGGAGGTGAATTTTAGTGCAAAAGATTCAAACTTTAGTAGGAAGATAAGAGTTGGATTTGGCACTCTGAGCTGATTTTGTTCGAGTATTCCAAATTTGGAGGTGAATTTAGTGCAAAGATTCAAACTTTAGGAATATAAAGAAGCAAGAGAGGAATGATTCCAACTCTAGAGATCATTTGGCTATTTGGGTATATTTTTTCTTGGTAAATTTGGTGCATTTCTTATTAGATTGGGCATTGCCTAATTGGTGTGGTGAGAAGTTTCTGGCGTTTTGAGCTGATTTTGTTCAAGTATTCTAAATTTGGCGGTGAATTTTAGTGCAAAGATTCAAACTTTAGTAGGAAGATAGAGTTTTGGATGTGGATGAGTGGAGGGGGAAAATGAGAGGTGAAGTAGCAAGATTGAGGGGACAACAATGACTACAGGATCATTGGGTCTTCGTTCTTCAGGAAGTTATGGCTCTTTGCAGCAACAGCTATTTCAGAACAGCTCCTCACCAATCCAAACAACACCTCCTATTCCATCAAGAAAGCCCCCTAAATTGTTTAAGGAGAAAGAGGGATTGTTTCTCCGGATCTGCAAATTCGCCCCTCGAAAGAATGTGGGGATGCTGCTGTTGTGTGTCGTTTCTGCCGCAGCTTTTCTGTGGGTCTTGTATGTTGGCAAAGGTTTGGTCTCTAAACTCTAGCACATTGCCTCTTTCTGAAACGTATGATTTGTCATATATTATAGTTAGATGTCAAATCTTTGGTGTTCATGTACTTGGAAATATTAAGATGGAGAATTTGTTTATTAAGCACTAATACAAAACTGAAAATCTTATTTATGTGAATTCATAGAGTTAATGCCATAAGTATTGTGGAGCTTCTGGGAGGCTCTTATGTGGTGTTATCGGGTGGTTATAGTTTGCTTGGTAAAATATTAATTGGCTGCCTCAAAGTTCATCATTTCACTTGTATGCTCTTTCTTTTTAAGGTTTTACCTGATTAGGAGAGTTCCTGATTTCGTCTAGTTTATGCTGACGATTTTTAATGACCACCTCTGTTGTTCAATCTTCTACTTTCGTTTTTAAGGAAATACTTTCTATCCGGCTGTTCCATATGTTGGTGCTTGTACATATTTTAAATTTTCATCTCTTAAGAATTCTTTTCTGCCTTCTGACAAGATCGAGTTTTCGACTCATTTATAGGTGAAGATGCAGTGGAACTTAACACCTCCATAAGTAACAGGATGTTTCCTCCAGAAACTGTACATAACTATATTTATAGGAATATTGAGTCAATAAAACGAACTAATGTTGGCCGAAGTGCATCAACTATCCAATCTCCTCCTCCTCCTGTATATTTCAAAGGATATACTCTTCCTCCTGGAAATCCATGTGAAGGCTTCACGTTGCCACCCCCGCCAGCAGATAAGAAGAGGACTGGACCACGGCGTAAGTTTTACAATCTTGTCGTATTCTGAAAATTTTCTCCTTAAAATGGATTGAAGGTCAGAATATATAACTTCTAAATGCTGAACCTAAACCTCATATTTCCATTCCTTATGTTCTTCAGCATGTCCTGTGTGCTACCTTCCTGTTGAACAAGCTATTGCATTAATGCCGGATGCACCGTCCTTTTCTCCTGGTGTTAGCAATTTGACATACATCCATGAAGAAAATCCAAGTAAAACCGAGTTTGGAGGTTCAGATTTCGGCGGATATCCTTCACTGATGCAGAGAAATGATTCGTATGATATAAGAGAGACAATGAGTGTGCATTGTGGGTATGCTATTTTCTCTACTTGGAAACTTTATAACAAAGATCGTCGCATTTTTCACAAGATCCTCTGATTTAGTGTATTTTGTGATTTTTTCATTTTACGTCCAACTGACAGTTTTGTCAGAGGAACCAGGCCTGGACATCGGACAGGTTTTGACATTGACGATTCTGACCTTGTTGAGATGGAATCTTGTCAAGGTGTCGTGGTGGCATCGGCAATATTTGGTATTGATCTTTCAACTGATCATTCATTTGTTACATTTGCATCTTGTATCTGATGGACCTTAGTTTTAACAAATATACTCTTGTTAAGGGGCCTTTGATTTGATACGGCAACCAAAGAATACCAGCGAATATGCAAAGAAAAATGCCTGCTTCTATATGTTCGTGGATGAAGAAACAGAAGCATTTTTGAGAAATTCAAGTGAGCTAAATAGTAGCATGAGAATTGGTTTATGGAGAATTGTTGTTGTTCATAACCTACCTTACAACGATCCGCGGCGAAATGGAAAGGTAATTATTCGTTGCCGATATCTTTTCCTTCGTAGATCTGAAGTTTGGATCCTTAACCAACTTTCCGCCTAAATGGGAGCTTTTGTGTTCTAAATCTTGAAGTCGACAATTTGAACAGGCTCTTGAATCGAACTCTAAATAGGTCTATTTCTGGAAATAGATAGAGTTCCGTTGTCTACTGTAATGAGCAAGCACAAAGTGCATTTATTTTCATGGTTTTGTCAAATTCTTATTTGATGCAGCCACTAATGATTGCATTAGAGTAGGCTGTCTACATCACACCCCTTGGGGTACGGCCCTACCCTGGACCCTGCATGAACGCAGGATGCCTTGTGCACTGGGCTGCCCTTTTTATTTGATGCACAACCATATTATACATATTCTAGCTGCAGAAGGCATTTTATCTTTTGCTTTTGGCTTTGCCTATATGATACTTAACATTGATTTTAAACGGGGACAGTGATCTAATTTCTTCCCAATTTTTGTTACCTTATGGAGAAATAGACAATATAATGATTGAATAATTTGTGACATGTATTTGTTAACACTGTAGGTTCCAAAGCTTCTACTCCACAGGCTTTTCCCTAATGCTCGTTATTCTCTGTGGATTGATGGAAAACTTGAGCTTGTTGTGGATCCATATCAAATACTTGAAAGGTATATTTAAGACCCAATCCACATCTCATATATGCGAAAGCAAAAATCATAATTGGCTTCCCCTTCTATGGGTTGATTTTAGTCTCTTGACTAAAGACGTTGAATTTCTCCTTTTAAAACTTTAGCGATTAGCGATACTTGCAGTAGCCACCTATATGGACAAGTATAAGTAAAGAAAGATAAAGAAGCAAAAGTAAGTAATGCTTCTGCAAGTTTGTTTTTAGATGTGTTTGCGACACTTCTCCAGCCAAAATTTACTATAAGAGGAATATAAGCATCTTGTGCTGAGGTGGTTCTTTTCATAGCAGAGGCGGACCTATGCTTGTAGAAGAGGGGTCACTGGACCCTGTTAACTTCGGCAAAAATTCTGAATATATAAGTATATATATGTTGAAAAACGGTCATATATTTTGCTTGGAACCTTTAAGATCGAAAGTCTGATGGAGGCACTGGGTCCGCCTTTGTTTCATAGTGGTGTATTTACATGTCTTTCTCTATAAGAAAAAAATGATTTTATTAAAGTAGCCTTCACATGCTTAAGCGACATGCCAACAGAAAAATGAAAAATATGTATGCCAGCAAAGTATACATTTATTGGAGATGGTTTTTATGGCCTCAAATTCAGGCACATCTCAGAATTGTTGGACCTATTTATCACTGATAACTATGTTAAGGGGGATTCCTTTGGTAAATGGTTGTAGAAGTTTGTTGAAAATTGACTTGTTCATAAAAATGTGCTTTTATTGTTCTTCACAAGTTGATTCGCTCTCAAGTTTTTTTCATTTCAATGTCAGGTTCTTGTGGAGAAAAAATGCCAGTTTTGCAATATCAAGGCACTACAAGCGCTTCGATGTATTTGTAGAAGCAGAAGCTAATAAGGCAGCTGCAAAGTTCGACAACGCTTCCATCGACTTTCAGGTTGAATTCTATAAAAAGGAAGGTTTAACTCCATATTCCAGGGCTAAACTTCCTATTACAAGTGGTAAGAGTGTGATCCTCTTTTTCATCTTTGTTTACCTTCTGCTCGTAGTTCCTGCCCGTTTTCTGTCTGATAATCATACTAACGTGCTATTTATGTCAGATGTCCCTGAGGGATGTGTAATAATAAGGGAACACAATCCAATCTCCAATCTTTTTACTTGCCTTTGGTTTAATGAAGTGGACCGTTTTACTCCAAGAGACCAAATTAGCTTTGCTATTGTGAGAGATAAGATCATGTCAAAGACAAATTGGACTGTGAATATGTTCTTAGATTGTGAGCGGCGCAACTTTGTGATTCAGGTAATCTTCATTTCTTTACCTTCTGGATTGTGAACGGACACAACTTTGTAATTGCCATTGCTGGTCCACATATTGATATTTCCTCAAATTCTATATTATCTGATGCTCTTTTCTTCTTAATCGTTCCAAAAAGAATGACGTGTTTCTATTTGATAACCCAACTTTAAACTTTCCAATTTGTCCTATATGACGTACTCTTATAGCCATTTTGAACTGTCATGGTATGTTTAATGTCACAAGTTCTCGGGGTACTTTTGAATGTGCCACAAATCTTTTTTTGTTAAACTCAGCGCTCAGTTAAACACCGCCATATAAAAGGAAATGGAGGGAGTAATAGTTTTAGCTACTTGTCAAGATGACCTTTTTCCGATTTAATTG